AGCTTGACTTTCCACAGAGAAGAGGACATGTAGCAGTGAAGAGAGGTGAAACGGAGCAAAGAGAGTACAGGAAGTACTAACCTACCCTAGTACCTTGGCTTGATCTGGATAGATTGTACTTATCTGAGGTTAACTTATATTAAAGAAAACCGAAAAAAAAGGGACTCGAATGCAGCTACAGCAGTCATGCTTAATTCAACAAGGGCGTGGCGTAAGATCTCGCGGAGCTCTATGTATACATGTATACATACACTGTGTGACGATATATATGGGTATGTGTCAGGTAAACGAAAGCCAGTGTTCCTAGGGGTGAGAGATCAACGAAGAGCGACATTGCCATGACGATGCCGCCTACAGCCGCAGTGATGCTATCGTTGATATCTAGTCATCGCGAGCTCCTTCCCTTTCTTCGTGTTTCTCCGTCCTCACCCTCTTTTCTCTCTTCTTCGTGCTCCTCCCCTCCCTCTCCCTTCGCTCCCTATTCTCTCCTCTTCATATATCCTCTGATTCCCTCCTCGTCCTTCCCGTCTCGTCCTCGTCTCCCTCTGCCCTCTTACTCTTCTCTCCTCCTTCCTCTCCTTCTTCCCTTCCTCCCTTCTGTTTTTTTGGCGGCGGAGCGTTCAAATTCGAAATCTTCGCGCCTCCCTGTCCAATGGCATCTCCCAAAGATGCAGGCCCCGCAGGAGGGCAAATCAGACAGGCACCACGGGAAATAGGACCCCAGGTCCGGTAGGTGCATTACGAAAAGATGGGCCCCTCACCGGCAGGGGCCTGCACGAAAGTTCAGAGGCCGCAGGGGCAAATCAGAAAACCTCGGCTGTCCGAGGGCAAATCGCCAATTAACGGAAATTTCAGGGGCATTTTGCAAATTTTCCCTTATTTTTTTTAGAAGATGTAGCATTGTATTTCAAACAGAAAAATTCTCTGTCGAGTCCGGGGACCTCACAATTCTACCCGGTGTAACCAAGTAGAATACCTGCTGGAAACCGGGTCCAGCGTCCCAAGGCCTCCAGCCTGACATAAGAAACACTAACTCAAAATTTTGACTCGAAGCACAGTAAAAGGGGCGGATTCTGAAGAAAGAAACTCTACATGCCCAGTCCATCCGCCTGAAAAACTCTATAAGACCACCTGAGAAAAAAACATTCCATGACACCCTCAGATGGGAACAAGCCTACCCTTAAAACTCAGAGAAGACCGGACGGGACGCTTAACTATTCTGATTTTACTCAAGCTTTTCGAGGAGATTTTGTTACTAGGAGATCTGGAGCAAACATCTACAACACTTCTGGGACTATTGCCCCTATGTGTAGCCGGTGTCCTGCAAACTCCTAGTCT